GGACGCGTCATTTTGGCCCGCGGTTCCCGCGCCGAGCCACACTGCAGACACCCCAGAAGGGGCCCGGCGGGCTTTGCTTCCGAAGGACGAGCCGGTGTCCGGTGAACGGCCACTGCACAGTGACGCTGGTGCACAGAGTCCGGGGGGGCACAAGGGAGGAAGCGGTGGGGAAGTCACTCCGAGGCTGACAGGGACGTCTCTAAGCTCCTGAACCCATAAAGCATCCGGGAGGTGACACAGCCTGCGAGGCGGACGCAGGCCTGCTCAGGTGTCTCCCATGTGGGGTCACAAACCGAGTCTGAGAGCACCGTCCTGTCCCCGCATCCCCTCTTCAGTCTGCACATCTGTCCGGGCGATGCTCGCTCCCATTTCTGATGTCAGACCAGGCGGGGGCTTCCGGACAGAGACCTGGGGCTTCGGTCCCAGGCAGGTGTTGCCAGGGGCCTGCCTCGAGGGCTTGGACGCAGGCAGTGTCCCTCCGGTCTCCACCCCGCAGCACACGGAGGTGCCCTCAGCGCAGTGACCTGGGGGGTGGACACGGGGCAGCCCGTGGAGCGCTTCCTGCACACCCCCCGTGTGTGCGCAGCACGCACGAGGCCTGGAGATGCGGCCTTTGCCCCCGCGCCTGTCCTGGTCCACTGGCCATCGCCGTCCTCTTCAGATGGTGGACACGTGTCCAGCGTCTCTCTTCCGCCTCCACCTGCCGCGGCCTTGGTTACACACGCACATCGGCTGGCGTTTTCCTCCTAAGTAAACGTCTTCACTCTGTGACTCAGTGTATCACGTTCCCGCCGTACCTCTGCCCCTCACCTCCGTCCCGTTACAGCCCCGGGTCCTGCCGGCCCGCGTGTCCCCTCGAAGGGACGAGCCTGACTCCCTGATGGGTGGGTCGGCGGGACGGACAGCTGTCTGGAAGCTGGCTCTTGTCAGTGGGGTTTCACTTTCACTTCCTCAAAGAATCCCCCTGACCAGAATCGAACCCGAGACTCTTTGGTCCGCGGGCCAACACTGAGCCGAACTGGCCAGGGCAAAACTGGTTTTCTTTTGGAGGTTTAGTGGTTTTAAGAATTCCTCAGAGGACATAAGATTAGGTTTTGCTCATTAATTTCGCTTGAGAGAAAAGCACCTGTCTGTGCCCATCTGCAAGGTCCGCTGGGTGGAGGGTGGGTGGCGTCCACTGCGCCCGAGTGCCAGCCCCAGGGTCCCGGCCAGCCCCGCGGACCGGTGTGTGGCGGAGCTGCTGTCTCAGGGACAGATGGACACCCGCCCTCCGTGCCGGGCCCAGGTCTGCCCACGGCCTCTTAGACTGAGCAGGTGCACTGACCGCAGGTGGCCGAGGACATGCGTGCTGGGCCCGGGAGGACACACGTTTCTTCCAAACGGGAATCTGACTGAAAGAATGACGCCCCCAATTTCCCTGAAGACATTTCTTTTCCCGAGATGATCACTATTACGTTTACTGTGTATCTTTTTCTACAGAACGCAGGTGTCAGACACATTGTATCACATTTATGCATTTTACAGTGACAAAAAGAGAGCAGGAATTAGGGGCCTGCTGATGTGTAACTTGCTTTTCCATGAACTTTATATTATGATTGCTTTTCTTTTCTTTTTTTTCTTTTATATTTTTCCATTTCTTTAGTCTTGTGGAAAGTATTATAGATGTTCCCCCCTTCTTCCCCCACTGACCCCGCCTCCCGCTCCCTCCAACCCTTCCCCACACTGTTGTCTGTGTCCATGGGCTGTGCATCCATGCGTATCAGTCCTTTGGTTTATCGCTTCCCACCCGACCCCCATCCCTCTGAGGTCCGTCCGTCTGCTCCCTACTTCCATGTCTCTGGATCTATTTTGATCATCAGCTTATTTTGTTCATTATGTTCCATAAATAAGTGAGATCATGTGGTGCTTGTCTTTCTGAACAACAAGAAAGTCTTCATTTTCTAAAAAGGTCTTCACATTACATGACAAGGAAAATCAATAATCATATAGAACCATCACCCGAAGGAAAGCGAAAGATTTGTGTCGACGCAAGATGTCAATCCATGCTCCGTTTTCCCGTGATTTGTGAGACAGGCGCTCTCTCCAAATGAGAGATTTACTACAAACACTTTCCAAATGATTCACCAGTTGCAGAAATCAATGGCATTTCATTTCGTAAAAACTGTACTTTTACAAAGAGCCGGGTAAACATATGTAAAACCGGAGCTCAGCACATACGTGGCTGCTTCGTAGTGAGGAGGCATCCGTGGGCCAAGATTAATGTGTCTTTAAAACTTCATCTTGTAGACGTCAAAAACGTCTAGATGACAAATCGCACAAAGTAGGTGATAATTTAATTATAATTAATGGTGGAGGCAACCTATAAAGAATGGACTCAATTTTCAGCTGATTAAAAAGAAAAAAAAGAAAGAGTGTTCCCGGCATCCATCTGCCTTTCCATCAGAGCTCAGGCACAGGCAGCCACGGACGGACCCCCGCCCGGAGGGTGTATTTTAGGCTTCCCAAAGGACTGAGCGGTGTCACCTGTCAGTCAACCTTACTGCTGCCCCCACGTAACTTGATTGGGAGATTGAAGAGATAAAGCCACAGAAGGAAGTGTAAGATTCAGAGAATAAAGGATGTGGAGAGAAAAGCCGTAAACATCAGGAAGAGAAGAAGCGTATTTCACGGCGGGGCTGTTTATTGGGCCAGAAGAGCAGCGGGTTTAAAAGGCCGTGTTCTTTGTTTTCAGAAGTTGTAGAATTCTACGCGGCCTGTGCTCTCGGACGGAGCGGCACTTTCTCGTGGACGGGCTGGGGACCGCCGGGGGTTTCACAGAAACCCCACCCAGGGGCAATCACCGTTTCTCCAAGGAACACAGGTGGCATCTTTATATTCTCGAGAGTCACCAGGGATGTTAAAATGGCCGCAAGTGCAGAAATGTGTGTTTTTTAAAAAGGTTCCCTTCTCACCAAACCGCCCAGGGTCCAGCCCTCTGACGGAACGTTTGCAGAGAGAATGAGGCGCCTTTGGAAGGCCCGGGCACGTTCACCGCTGGTCGGGGTGCTGATCTTGTGGTTTCCTAGCATGTCCACGGCCAGGCTGCTTTTCTGCGACTGTGTCGGTAACCACAGCATCTTCCCCCTCATTTTGTTTGGTGACATAAAAGTGCCGTCCGACTGGACTCCCCGGTGTTCCCTCCAGGTGGGGAAGAACCATGAGTGACATGCTGTCCTTCTAGGACGGGAAGGGTTCCCACGTGGCCGCCCAGAATGACAACCGGAGGCCTCTTGGTTACTGGGACGTTTACGGGGACACGTGGTGGGGGCTGGCGGGGCTCTGAGGGGCCCTCTCGGCATGTGGCCTTGGAGGGAACTGCCCCCTGCTGCCCTCGGCCTGGTCTTGTCAGCAGGGGCCGACCTGCAGCTTCCGTTCACTGCTGAGGGTTCTGCCCTCTGCAATCGGAGTAAATCTCCCCTGGGACCACCAGCCTCTTTAGAAGCACCTGGTGCTCCTCTGGATGTGTCATGTTAACACCGGTCGCTCCCCATCGGGTCAGTGTTCTTACAAAGGGCGGCACTGACCAGCCACCCCGTCAGCCTGACGCCTCCTGGGACCCGGGGCTGGGGGCAAATGAACAGCCTCTCGCGTGGGGTCTGGTGGAAGGTCAGTGTCAGCCCAGAGAGCTGTCCCGTCGGCCACCGTTGGGCCGTGTGTGTGCCCGACATTAGGTTTTTGCGCCTTTTTATCTCTTTGCGCTCATGTGCAAATGTTTCTACTCACCACTTAGATGATATATATTCTTTTAAAATCAATGGGGACCCGTTTAAGCTCTTGCAATTTTCTGCCAGGCAGTGTGCTCCTTCTCGTCACCGTTGTCCAGCCTCTTCGAAGCTGGCCCGCTATGGTGCCTTTCTGGTGTTGCTGCGCAGAAGCCCCTGCACCGACCAGGTTTGCGGGGTGCACTGGAACCTTCTCGGTAGTTCCGTGCCAATCGGACCATCAGGACGCTCGGAGGAGACAGCGCAGCAGCCGGGAGCAACTGTGTAGATTCGCCTACCTCCTTCCAGGACCGTCCAGTGCCTTCTAAATGCTCACCGACGACTCAGATCGGCCTGGGGGACCTTCACAGAGACCTGCCGGGTGGCTGGCACGACGCGCCCGCGCTCTCCTTCCGAACACGTTGTTCACACAACCTCCTCCTGACCTGCGCGTGTCTGGAGCATGGGGGGTACGTAATTTTCTGGTCCTGGCTAGCTTGGGGCCCATGTCCGGGAATGTGGCCTTTGAGGACATGAGAGGTGTTCCCTTGAGAAACCCTCTCGCTTTCCGACAGTTGGACTATTTTTATGAAAGTGGAATGGTTTTCAATGGCTCTCTTAATAGACTGAGTTCTTTCCATGGTATTGATAAGGATTACTGATTATTAGAATCATATAGGAAATTATAATACTATGCAGGCACGAACATGAGAAATTAGATACAAAGAGAGATTCAGAATCAACCCCACAGACAACTGACTACAGAGCACCCAGCAGCGTGTGTGTTTCGAGGTTCATTTCGATGCAAACCCCTAAACCAGGTGGCGGATGTACCAAGGGTGACTGTACTTCGGAGCGAAGGGCACATGTCGATACACCTGAGCAATTTCATGCAACCTCCCTGCTACGCCCTTCCCAGGGCCTGGATACAATGTGACCAGAGCACTGGTGTCTTCGCCAGGCAGGTGCATAGAAATTAAAATGAATGTTAATTGATGCTTATTGATCCATACAAAGCAATAATTCCAGCAACACAGGAAAACCCCTTGCACACACCACAGTGAAAAGCCTTATAAACACGTTGCCAGTTGCTATCTATAGACTTGCTCCTGTTAACTGTGCATAGAGGGGTCTGAGGTATTTTCAAGCGTCTACGTCTTGTCCTGTCTTTAGTGAGGGAACCCTGGCATCTCAGAGCTGGGAAGGACCAGAACATCTTCCGCGACTTTGTTTTTTTCTTATAAGAGGCGACGTTCTTACCTTGAAACTGAGCGTTGAACCCTTTGCGCCGATGGTTACTGTCCGACGTGAAATGGAGCCGCAGCCAGTTCTTGCTGCTGATGACGGGGGAGGGAAGGTTCATGCCCGTCAGCCTGGGGAGAGAACAGAGAGAGCCCCCGTGTGAGCCACACAGAGCAATGTCCTGCCACCGTCCTGCTTCCAAAACCCACTACGCGGCCTCCGGGCCGGTGTGGCCGGGTGGTTGAGTGTCTTCTCCTTCACTGAAATGTCCCCGGTTTGCTCAGCGGTCAGGGCACAGGCCCGGGTGTGGGTCCCATCCCTGGTTGGGGTGCATGCAGGAGGCAACCCACGGATGTTTCTCTCTCTCTTTTTCCTGTCCTCTCAAAACTCAATTTCAAAAACCCAACATATAGCCCCGGCCGGTTTGGCTCAGCAGTTGGAGCGTCAGCCTGCAGACCAGAGAGTCCGGGGTTCTGTTCCAGCTAGGAAAAAGAAAAAAAAAAAAGAAGAAAAAAACCAACATATATGAAACCCACGACCCAGTCTTCAGAGTCACGTATTACTGGTAAACCTTAGAGTGGTTCAGAGAATTGTATCTTCACCCACAAATGCTGAGTGTATTCCTGAGGTTGCTATTAATGACACGTAACAGAAAATCATCTCATTTTTTATTTTTTTAAATTCTCATGAGGATATTTTTTCATTGATTTTCAGAGAGAGGGGAAGGGAGGGAGGGAGGTTGGAGAGAGAGAGGAACCTCGCGGTGAGAGATGTGGCACGGGGCACGGTGCCCGTGGTCAGCTCTCCCCCGACCACAGGGCTCTCTCTCAGAGTCTTTCCCCGGGGCACTTTGGAAGACCCCGCCATCAGCAGACACCAGCACCCTCCCCTTCCGTCCGGGAACCATCCTCTCTGTGACTCGGGGTCCCCCGTCTGTTCTCTCTGGGCCCAGGTACAGTCTCTGCTTCCTGCAGAAACCGTCTGTCATCTCTCCAGGCTTATCCCACCCAGCACAGGGCTCCGTGCCTTCCAGCCTCGCCCAGGGTTCCCACTCAGATGCGCCGGACTGCGTTCGGTCCCCACGGGAGCCCGAGCCCCTTCCTCGCCAGGGCCTTTGCACGGCTGCTCTCACGCCAGCAGTCTGCACACCCGCCGCCCACACCCGTCCCTCCAGGAATCCGAGTCACTTGTTACGTCCCGGACGGGGAAGCCCGACCTGACCACCAAGATGGAGCCGTCCTCCCTGGGACATCCTCTCCTGGCATCTCCCTCTCCCGTGGCCGTTGCACAAAAGTGAAGACCTGATTACATGTGTGCGTATTCAGTGACCGGTCGGTCACCTTTCCTGGGACCCTGGAAGCCGGCATCGCCCCCACTGTCCCTCCAGCACTTGGCAAAGTCCTGGGCACAGGGCACGTCTCCGCTGAGCACGCATCAGGCGAACAGACAGGACGGGCGACTTCACCACCCGGGTCCATGTCCCCTGGGTCACCTGCTCTGCAAAACCTGTCTTCACTGGAAGCACCTGCAGCCTGGAGCTGAGCCGAGCCGAGCAGGGAGGAGGATGCAGGTCGAAGGGACGGTGCTGCCGTCTGCCTGCATGGGGCCCGTTTACGGCACGGCCCCGGCCCAAGCCGAGGCTGTGCACACAGCCCCTGTGTGTGGGCTCCCCGGGGTCTCCGGCTCGGCAGGCTGCCCTTTCTTTAACACCCCCGAGGAAACCCAAAGAGACCTCGACTCTCCTGCCCCAGAAACATCAACACGCACCCTTGGTGGTCGTTCAGCTCTTTGCAGGGGCTCAGCCCAGAGACTCCGCTGTGTTCCTGGACTTCCGGAAGCAGCTCTCAGACGCGTACCTGGCTGCACCCAAGAGGTGTGACCTCAGTGGGAGGGATCAGCGTGTGCGGGACACGCTCGCCCCGTGGCCACCTGTGTGTGCCTTTGGCCTCAGTTTCCGTTCCGTTGCTGTGTCACGGGGCGCCCCCCTCCGGAGCCCTGGACTCATCCTGCCTGTTTAAATGCTCCCCAAACTTCACAGCTTTTGCAAAAGACGTCCCCTCGGAAGATCTTCCTCACGCGATGGTCTGAGTAACTAAGTCTCCTGGCTGCAGGGTCCTGCCCCACCTGCTCCGTGTTTCCAAGGTTGAGTCCATCCTGTTGTGGGACGGGGGATGCCTGTTCTCCTCTGACCTGTGAGCCCCCTGAGGCTCCGGCTGGCATCGTCCTCATTCCCCAGTCTTGGCAGGACTGGCCGTTCACGAAGTCTCAAAGAGCTTCTGGTTTCTGTGGTTGCTGTGAGCACAAGGCAACCTGCTAGAGCATCCGCAAGTCCGAGGACCAGGGAAGGAGAGGACGATTCACAGAAGACCGCACGTCGCTCCCCATGGACAGCAGCCACGTGATGTGGGGAGCGTGGCTCGGATCTGCGTCCACGGAGCCCTCACGGTGACGCGGGACGGGAGAGCGTCGTCTGCGGTGGGGACTGGCCCCGTCAGAGACCAGGCAGAGGAGCTCACCCGGACGGGAGGGACCCAGAGCAGGGCGTGCCCGGGCCCAGGCCGCCCACGGAGCGGGCATCAGGATTAACCTGAGGGCCAAGCAGGGAGGACCCTGGGAGAGAACGTGACAGAGCCCGTCTTCTGAGGCTCAGGGAACATCAGCGGATTGCTGGGTACACCGCCCAGGACACGGCTCAGACAGACCAGGTGACAGGATGAGACAGTCCCGAGACAGCGCTCGACAGCTTTTCTCCGCAGAATGTCCTCTGGGCCGCTCGTCTGTCCAAGAGGAAGAGGCCAACGGGACACTGGCTTCCGCCGGCGGAGGCCTTGCGTCTCCCGCCTGGGGGCCCCGCCGCACTGGTGCTCACGAGGTCGTAGCTGGTGTCAACGTCCTGGTCACAACGACAGGCCTGCATCTGAGTCACGGCTTGGACAGAGTCCTGCCGGGGCCTCTCCCCTCAGCCCACGCGGTTCGGTGGAGCTTCCCGGACCCTGTGAGGACGGCACCTGAGGTTTGCCCGCGGAGAACCCCCGTCTGTCCCTCCCAGTTCACGGGGCCGTCGCACCAGTCACTCGTGGGGGCCTCGTGGGGACGAGCACCACCGAGCTTTTCGCGTGTTCAGAGGACAGTGCACGCGTGTTTCTATGATGAACACACCGCCAACACCGTGAGGCGGGCATGACACATGCACAGGGACATCGGCGTCACCGGCTCCCCGGGACGTTACTTTTAGATACGTGCTCTCTGGGGCATCGTGAACAACACTTCCCCTCGGTCTACGGAGCGGTACCTGCCGTCCTGCCCGATTCCTCGGAAGGACTCGCCCGTCCCTAAGCAGAGTTCTCGCCTCGCTCGATGTGACCAGCACCTGTGAGGGCCAGGGCAGCCGACAGCGACACCGCCGGACCTGACGCGTCGGGAACGCCGTCCAGTGCGGCAGCCCCAGGTCCGCCGCACGCACACGGCCTTGGTTGGTCTGTGCCTGGCGTGAGCCGGGGTCCATGTCACACGCCATCAGACAGCAGGCTCCCTGCACACGCGGGGCTCCGGACCGAGGCCCAGGGGCAGCGCGCCTCGCTCAGGGGCGCCCCCTTCTGCCTCAGGGCGCCCCCCTGCCATCCTCGCAGACACAGACCACAGACGGGGACATCACTTGGCCTCCTTCCAGTGCGGCCGCCCTCCCAGCAGGGTGCGCGGACACCCACTCCCCCCGCTGACCCTCCAGGGCACCTGGGCCAGGGCACGGTGGTGACGCTCAGTGCCCTTTCTACCGCCTGCTGACGGTTTTATGCGGACGCCCTCTGCCCCGCGGCAGTAGCCAGGAAAGGGAGGCCTGATGCCGGGGACCACGCTGGGGCTTTGGCCAAGTCTCCAGCGCTGGAGAGGGCGGCGCTCTAGCGCCCCCAGTGGATCAGCTGCACCAAGTGCGCCAGCGCCTGGGGACCGGGGCTGGAAGGCGCCGGGCGGAACCCGAGGTCTTCTACCCTCACAAGCTCTGTCACAAGTACAGGCTGTGACTAGGACACACAGGTCCAGAGGGCTCTTTCTGCAAGTGTCCGGTTGTGAACTGAACACAAACACACAGCAGCATGAGAAAGGTGTCCGCAGTTCACTGGCTCCGAACGCGGGGACCCTACCACCAAGTCCCAGGGAACCCGGAGTCCCGGGGGGCCGGAGCAGACCTGAGGCGTGACCTGCCCCTCCCAGCCGTCCCAGCAAAGAGGCAGGATGTCCCCACTGGTGTGCAACTGCGGCCCGCAGGCTGACGCGTGATCACGGGCTTAGAGACTGGAGGCTCGCCCACAGGTCCCTTTGTAAACGCCCTCTCCAAGGTCCGTCTCAGAAACGACCCCAGGGCCTCCGGGGCACGCGGATCCCAACGGAGGCTGCCTTGCAGCCGGTCTCGGGTGGCTGTTTCGTCCTCCGAGTCCGTGTCCTTGAACTTAAAAGGATTTAGTATATTTGCATTTCATTTTTCCATACGTATTGAGGCATGATAACAACACAGTGTCCATATTCAGTTGTACAATGAGATGATTTCATGTTGCGATACCCTGCGGTGATGACCTCACTGTAGCTAATTCATCTGTCTGTCAGATCACAGTGTTTCCTTAAAGAGAAAAAGTGGGGTTTTCGATGGTTTGTAAATAGGCACACGCTATATATCTGCCTGCACACAGCTCTACAGGGAGACGTCTAGAATATTAGCTGTGTTGTCGATTCATTACACTTGTTATCCTTTAGCCTGTCGACAATTTATTCATGAATTGTGGAAAAAAATTAGCCCGGGACCGCACTTTGAGCCGGATCGCTCTGAAGAGTCTGTTGTGCCATCGGATGTTTTTAAATATATTTCAGGGATATTTTTATCCAACTTGGTACAACTTTATCTTAAGAAACTCTCAACTTTCCCCGAGAGTGTTGCACCTGCAGACCACTACGCGACTGTAGTGTGTCTTGTCCCTGACGACAGGGAGGGCTGCTGGGACCCGTGCCCCCTCGTGGTTTAAATCTCCTAGCGACACTGCAGCTATTCATGCTCCTTAAAAAGTGGCCAGAAGAAAAATCTATGCACTCGTTGTGTCTTAACCAAGTTAAGTCTGCAGTGCTTATAAGGCAAAGACAAATC